ATTAGATTGACTCAGACCTAGGTGAAACACAAAAGCACTGGATCCTACATTAGGGGGTTTCCATTATATCTCCCTATAAGGAAAGAATGAGGAAACTTTTATTTTGCAAGAGTGTTTTATAAAAATCATGCCTAAAATATATGCAAACATACACTTCCTATTACCTCTGTCCTTTATTCTATTACTATAACAATGTTTGCTTTGTGCTCTACCCATTATATAGCTTTCTGTTTTCTTCTTACAGAGCTAGCTCTGTCTTAATTCTCTGGGATTTCTTCTACTTTCCTTTCTTGTTTATTGTTGGTTTTTAATGGCCAGCATATACAGCCCTTGCACCTTTCCAAGTTGTTCTTTCTCTTGCTGTGCCTCTATACTTTTTCTGTGGACCATCCACTCCCTCTGAAGGAAAAACCCCTTCTTTCATTTGGCTGTGTACTCTTGTTTACTGGTGGCTGCAGAACTCTAAAGCTCACAATTCCCCTGTTCTCTCCCACACCTGTGTCAAAGTTGCAGCTTTATTGGCAACTCTGCTGTCCTGCAGCTGGGGAAAAGGCTCAGATGGGACACAAGGAAGGTAGCACAGGTGCCTGCAATTTTGTCAAGGAGACTGCTCTTCCACAGACCCCAAAACTTTGCAAACTGGGACTTCCCTAGATAATTCTCTTCTCTAGAGGTAGGACTCAGTTGTGTTAGGATTATGTGTGCTAGTATTACTTTATATTAATTAGAGAAGCAGCAAAACCAGGCTAGCACAATCGGTTACAGAGACAGGTACAGCATAGATCAGGGGTCCTCAACCTTGGCAACTTTAAGACTTGTGGACTTCAACTCCCAGAATTCCTCAGCCTCAGGAATTCTGGGAGTTGAAGTCCACAAGTCTTAAAGTTGCCAAGGTTGAGGACCCCTGGCATAGATAAAGAAGGCTACTCAAGATGATATGGCCCTGCCACAACTTGTTCTTAAGGGTAGCTAACATTTAGGCCAACCCTTGTGTTAGTCTAGTATTCATTCATTCATGTATTCGTTTTTGAGAGATTTAAACTATTTCAGGCAGAATTTAAAAGGTATAGTTTGATCCAAATTGCTTATTGAGCTGACTGGTCTTCTTTTCTGATTAAACTGAGCAAA